GAAACTTATATCCACAAAAAAACCTGCATACAGATATTTATAGCAGTTTTATTCATAATTGCCAAAACTTGGAAATAGCCAAGATGTCCTTCAGTATTGGGATAAATGAGCTGTGATACATCCAGACAATTGATATTATTTAGTGCTAAAGAGAAGTGAGCTATTGAACCACAAAAAACACATGGAGGAAACTTAAATGCATATTTCTAAGTAAAAGAACCCAATGTGAAAAGTCTGCATACTGTATGATACCAACTATGACGTTCTGTAAAAAGCAAAAATATGGAGACAGTAAAAAGACGATGTTTGGTGGAGGGGTGGGTGGAGGAAGGATTGAAGAGGCAGAACACAGAGGAGTTTTAGGGCAGTGAGACTGTTCTTTACGATACCATACTGGTAGAGCCATGTCATCATACATTTGTCAAGATCCATAGATTGTACAACACCAAGAGTGAACCCTAATGTAAGCTATGGAGTTTGGGTGATAATATGTCAATGTAGGTTCATCAGTTGTAACAAATGTACTACTCTGGTGAGGACTGTTGACAGTGGGGGAGGCTATGCATATGTGGAGACTGGGGAAATGTGGGAACTCTGTGCTTTCTGCTCAAGTTTACTGAGAACTTAAAACTACTATAAAATATAAAATCGATTTAAAAAGGAAAAATTACATTTAATGCCAATTCTGAATGGATGGGGGCACTGTCTTGATAGTCGCAGCAGGAGTCCTCAAGTCATTTTGTAGGGCAGTTGAGGTTGTATATGTGTGTGTGTCTTTGACACAAACTGCAAACCTCCAGTTCACCCCTGGGTCTCCCGGAGTCAAAAATTCATGAAGGCCATTGAGCCGCAGAGCCTGGAGCAACAAGAAATTTCTTTACCAAGAGGAAATGTTATTTTAGAAAGAAATCCCAGCCAAGGCTGCCAGGAGCTGTGGAACACAAACCCATAAAACCAAGGTCCTTAGAGCACTTAACAAGATTTCCACCTGATGATAGGAAAACAATGATTTTATTGAGATTTCCCCAGGAAACTGGTTTTTCCCAATCTAGCTGAAAGGCTGAGATCATTTTAGTAATAATAGTGAGGATCAGAAGCAATGCTGCATCTCCTGTGCATATTAATTAACTCATCAATTTCCTTCCCAAGGGCAGGGCAATATGAGCTGCTCAGAGGCAAGTCTTGCAGGCCTTCCTGTCTCAAGAATGCCAAGAACTCACTGGTATCCTCTCTTAAATGATTTGCCCCCTGGATAAATGAACCGATCACTTCTGCAGGCTGCTTTCAGTTGCCGCCTCTGGCATTTTCCACTAAAAGGCTCCTGTGATAGTCCAGGAGACTGCCAAAGGAGTGATTTATGCTCACCATTAAACCCAGGACCTTCTCACCCACCTCCCTGGGCAAAACGCCTTTATATGCACTGCTTAGAACACCCTGGGGAAACATGAAGGGGAAATTGAGTATCGTCTCTTTATCTGCAATCTAATTCAAAATTAGTGCGTGATCTAGTTGTAAATCTCAGATTAAGCCGTTCTTAGCTCATTATGTTTTCGCCATTTCATTTTATGTGATAACAATAGTATCAGCATTAAGCAGAATTTATAGTTTTCAAAGTGCTCTCTTGTGTGTGAGCATATTTGATGCTTACCGAAACACTACTGAAAAAAAAAGAAGGGTCACCAGTCCTATTTGAGTAGAGAACCTGTGACACAGAGGTTAAAGGGCTCCCTGTGGTCAAACATCAATTCCTACCATCAAACAACCCTGTGCAAGGGTTGTTATTTATTTATTTTATAAATAAATTATTCAATATTACAAAGATATGTTAAATATAGAAAATATAAATCATGCTGTCTCCCAGTTTCAGCAACTGTTAACATATTTCCTTCAGATGCTTTTAAATAAGAAATAAAATGATACGGATAGTTAGCATCACTCCACTTCCTCTCTTTCTTGCTAGAGGTACAGGTTTTCTAGATGTCCAAGCTGACTAATGCAGAGCTACAAGTTAATTGATCTCTGTATTTGTTCACTCAAGTATAGTATTTCATTGCATGAATAGACCACAATTTACCCATCCTCCTACTGAATGATATTCAAGCTGCTTGCATGTCTAACTATTTTCAAACAGTGCTGCAGTGGACACTTTTGCTCATTCTTCCTGGCGACCACATATGAGAACTTCTTTAGAGTATGTATCTAGAAAGAGGGTTGCTGGGTTGAAGGATATACCACCTTCAGATTTATTAGATGTTGTCAAATTATTCTTCAAAGGGACTACAGCAATTTATACTTCTAATGACAATGTCTAAGAATTCCTGTTTCCCCATATCTTCACCAACACTGGGATTATTAATCCAGTTAACTTTCCAATTTGATGGGTGTGATTGCTGTCATAATTGTTTTAATTACATTGTCCTCATGACTGGTCAGTTTGGCCATCTATCCTAAGTTTATTGGCCATCTGAGTGCCCTTTTCTGTGTATTGCCTGGTGATACCTTTTCCTCAATTTTCAAGATTTTTGTCCTTTTTTTTATTGATTTATACAAGTTTGTTAGGGGCTCTAGATATTAATTCCTTGTTTATGATATGCATTGCAAATATCTTTTTCCAGTTTTTAGCTTGATTTTAACTTAGCTTATGTCACTTGCCTCCACTGATATTTTAAAGTTTAATGTTATTGAAATTATCTTTTTATTTGTGCTTTTTGTGTGTTGTTTAAGAAATCATTCACTGTTCTGAGGACATAAAGATATTCTCCTCTACATTTTCTTGTCTATTGTTTTTACAAGTTTTTCACATTTTTGGTTTTAATCCTAAATGCAAATCATTTCTGTATGTGGTATGACGTTAGAAATTAATTTTATTTTATTTTCCTTATTAATGTTTTCATACATATGTTCCAGTTGTCAAATGCCGAGACATCCATGGTTCTATTTCTGGGCTCTCTAGTTGACTCTCTCAGCATATTTGAACATCTCTATGGCTATCCCACACAGTAGTAATTACCAAAGCTTCAAGATAAACTTTGATATTTCATAGGGAAGTCTCCTTCCTTAATCCTCATAATTCTCTTGAGTATTCCTGGCTTTTGTCTTTCATATAAACTTTAAGATCAGTTTGCTAAGTTCACATGAGAAAATCCCCTGGCTTTTTATTAGAATTGCCATAAATTTATAAATTAACTTTGGAAAGTTAACATTATAATCTTTCACCATTAAGTATAATGTCAGCTGTGAGTTTTTTGGTAGACACCTTTTGACAGTTTGAGAAAGATCCTTTCTACTCCTAGTACGTTGGGAGTGATCATCATGAGAGGGTGTAGAATTTTGTCAAAGCTTTTTGTTACCTATCAAATTGACCTTGTGGGTTTCTTTCCATTATTCTATTAATATGGGATATTACATTGGTTAATTTCTAGATTTTAAATCAATCTTGCATTCCTGGAATATATCCCTCTTTGCCATGGTGTATAATCCTTTTAGCACACTTCTGGCTTGGGGTTTCCTTTTTTGTTGTTGAGGATTTTTGCATCTATATTCATAAGGACTGTTGGTCTGTAGTTTTCTTTTCTATAATATCTCTGTCTGGTTAGGGTTAGGGTTAGGTTTAGGGTTAGGGTTAGTTGCATTCACAAAAATTTTTTTTTCACAGCTATATTTAAACTACCAGGCAGAAAATGTAAAACATTGTTATGTTTAGGTGGTAACTGGTTAAATTTTCTTCTTCTCCCTATTTTTCTATATATTTATGCATTTTGAAATATGGAAATGGAAGAAAACCCCAGTCTTACTAGCAGGAAACATCCTGCTGCGTGTTATCTGTGTGGGTAGCACAGATGTCTGTGTCAGTCAAAGGTGTGACCTGCCTGGCACCAAGCAGCCAGTAATGAAGTAAAAATTTCAGCTTGAGTGAAGTCATTACCAGTTCCTGTCAGACACAGGGGGGCAGAAAGCTCCCATAACTGCAGGGCCTAACAGGTGACATTAAGGAAGTAAGCAGGTGAGCTGGGTACAAAAATATTTCACTTTCCTCTTTCCTATTAAAAAAAGATAGGGTTGATGATAAAGGGCCTTGATGACACTTACCAAAAGGAGAGGTAGGCCTAGGTTGGACTGGACCCAGCCCTTCCTACAGGGGTCAGTGCTTTTCAATGGTGTGCACGCTGGCCCGGTGTTCAAGAGGCAGGGAAATCCCAGATTTCTATGTGAATATTTTCAGTCTTGTAGACAAGTACTTCAAAATTTTAAAATTCTGTGAGAGCCCAGTTAACACTTCTGTGCCCCCATTTGGTCCCCTGGCCACCAGTTTGCAAACCCTAGTTCCATGGTTATTTTCTCAGCAATTTTGGCTGTTTTCTGAAGCAATAGGGTAAGGTTGGAGCCTCAGTCTACCCGTGTATACAAGGAGGATTCCTGCAGGTAGTTCTATGTGGGCGCTAATGCACAGTGAGTCCCTGAAGAGTGAGCCTTTGCCTCCTTGAATTCAGGGAGAACAACTCTGCGTGGTCAGGTGACTGGGGTCTGATCTGCCAAAACACAAGCTATAGGAAATGTCACTGTGAAAATGAGGGCTTCTGCGTGATCACCATTTGTGTCCTTTGGGTCAGGCAGCCCCTCTTGTGCCCTGCTCAGCCAGAGCAGTGGGACAAGGACCAGGACAGAGAAGTGGACCCGGGTCTAGCTCTTAGTGCCTCACCCCGCACGGGTAAGGCTGGCTTGGGCACTAATACCGGGCCCTACCCCAGCACTGAACACCACGGGGGCTTGGGATCCCGGAGCCCAAGCATGCAGCAGGAGAGGGAAAAGACAGCGAGCTCCTGGACTGCCAACCTCCACAAGCTGTTGCCATGGCCACAGGGGACTTTTGATGTGAAGTACTGTGACCCCCCTCCATTTCCCTTCTCTGCTATCCTTCTGAATGACGTCATGGACGTCCGTGGCCCTGACAGGCCACCTGTGGGTTGGTCTCGGCTTAAAAGCAGCTGTTCTCCACTGGCCCCCGCAGCAGGGGCGATTGTGTCAGCACCGGGAGGACCATGCTGGGACTCTGAACCCGCCTCTCGCCCTGGAGGAACGGCCACCGCTCCGGACAATACTGATTACCCGAGAGAGGCAAGTAAGTATTCAAGGGGTGCTTCACAAATTATCTTCCTTAAACCCCAACCCCCTCCCACCCCAAGCCAACACCCCCGCTTCTGGTCTGCAGCTCTTGAGGGACAAGCGACAAGCTGGCGGCAAGGTGGTGAGGGAACTTTCTTCCAGAATGAAGTGGAAAGCAGTGGTCTTTCTTCCTGGCTGTGGCGACCCATGCCAGGTAAAACCCCAACCAGGGTCCCTCGTCCAATTCTCTGTCCCAGGTAAAGGGGTCGGGATTGGAGGAGAAGCCTATTGGAACCGAGGTTCGCTGAGCCTGGGGCTGCTTCGGAGGGCCGTAGGAGCGGGTAATAGGGCTTGGAATCTGCCAAAGGTTCCGAGCCCGCCGCCAAATTCACGAAGAAGAAAGGAGGCAGTGAGGGCGCCTGGAAAGCGGCAAGCGGCTTCTCAGCCCGGAACCTGAGAGCTCCTAAGGGGTACTCGACCAGCTCGAGCTGTAGGGGCGTCTAGTTTTCGTACCTACCCGCGGGGCGACGCCGAAACCCAGCTTGCAGTTTATCTGGCTCGGTCTGACGCCGCGTCGGAGGTGGGCAGCATCACAGATTTGAGAGTGCGCGCTCTCCGGACCCAGCCTCTCCAAGCCCACCACCGCCGCCTCGTCTCCCGCACTGCTCTCCCTTCAGACTCTGGATGCCGCCGACGAGTTGCATGCAGAAAAGCGGCGGGGTTAGGTGTTCCAGACCTCTCCTCTCTGATTTGTCCGCCACAAGATCCTGAGCGCCAGGAGTCCTGGGATTCTGCCTGCAGAAGACCAGAGAGCTCAGTGCCGAAAGATAAAATCTGAAAAGTGCCGGGAGGCAGCTGGGTAACCATCCCAGTGCAAAGGGCTCTGCGTACCCGCTGCAATTGAGGCAAATAACCCCACTAATCCGGGAAGGAAAAGGAGAGGCTACGATGATTGCGCCCAGGAGGGAGCCAGGTGCGCTGGCAAAGCGCATCTGGTGCAGACACGTCCTTGTCTCGCCTTTTACCCTGGCGGATGAAGCGCCTGTACTTCAGGGCCCTACCTCGGGATTAGAATCAGGCTGCTGAAGGTCCCCAGAGCCCCTCCACGGCGAGTCCGAGACTCCAGCTTCAGCACTAGAGGCTGGACAGCGCCCTGGTCCGAGAGCGCCCAGGGTGGGTTACCGCGCGCTACTTGGCCTCCTCGCCCGACGACGCTCGCAGGCCCTCAGGTCCCACGCGGAGGAGGCTAGAGTTCACTAAGAAAGGAGATATTCATCTTCCCCATTTCTCCAGGAGTTTGGGTATCAGATTCTAGGAGGGCATTCTATCTCCCCTTCGCAAAAAGCGGTTGAAATAACTTGGTCCTAAATGCTGGCAGGTTGCCGAAGAGAAAAGAGGCGCACCTGTGAGTGATGATCTTAGGGGCCAGCGGGGCAGTGGTTCTACCGGGAACCCCAGGCACAGGTGAACTGTGAAAGAGCGCCACTTCCAAGTCGTGTTCTCTCTCGCGACCGCGGCCCCATCTCCCCTTCTTTCTCTTTCCACAATCTCCATACGCCTTATCGCCAGTGAATGAAGGGAAAAGCGTGGGATGGTGGGAGAAGATATTGAGATATTGAGGCTGAGGATAAAGAGCACATTTTATCAAGGTTGTAATATGTCCAAAACGAACATCAAGGTCCGCATTTTTAGCCAAAAGAGCCTAAACTGATCCTTTGTATGAGGAGCAGAATGACTGTTTTGATGGGAAGGAAAAAAGTCACAGAAGGGAAGACGTTATCACAAAAAGGCTAGCAGGGATGGGGGAGGAGAAGAGGGGGACAGGACCCCCGCACTAGAGTGTGATTACCAGGCAACCAGCCCCAGCCTCTTGTTGCCTTGGTTACACTGAGTGGAGGGGCTCCAGTTATTGATTATCCGTGAGCACCTTTATTCTTTAAAATAGCTTCTAGAGAGCCTGGGCCTTCCCAGGTTTCGATGGGTGTCAACAGCCGCTCCTGCAAAATCCCTCGGGGTTAAGAAGAAATCCTGGAATGTGAATTTTTCCTTTTAAGTCAAGGTGAAAGGCGAAGTAGCTACCTTTCCACCATCGCAGTCCTTCCCACCCTGTCCCCGGCCCCCTTCAGAGAGGCAATCATATCCTATTCTGTTCTTTCTCTGGGATTTACGATTAAGGCTTTTCCCCCCATGTGGTTCTTTAGACAGAAGGTCTGATTCTTACCTCCATCCCTCACTTTTTCCTCTAATGAGAAAGACATATTTGTTCTTCATGGATGAACCAGAGAGAGGAAATTATCTAAAGGTGTCTCCAGTTAAAAAAAAAAAAAAGGCTTTCTCCTTGGTTTGGCAGTGTTTTCTCCCTCCCTAAACACCCCCCTCATGTTGGAAAGGCTGAATTCTAGATCATCCCTTCTTTTCACCTCTTCGCACAGACCACACAGAAAACACATGTACGTAGAAATGGGATTCTCTTAGCAAAAACCACTAGCATCACCAGTATCTGATTCCTCAGAATTCTTTTATCTTTTCTTCCTCTTCAGCTCTGCCTTCAAAATTAGTAAATGCAGCACTTAAAGGTCCTAATCCTCTGAACTTTTCCATTTCCCTTGATTGACAAATGTTGAGTCCACTTTTCACTTGTCAGATTTGTCTGCCTGCATTCATTTGTAGTATCTGGGTAGAAAATAATTTTACCCATAATTTTCCAAAGACAGCTGTAACATTCTCAGAATGATTTACGGGAAAATCACTAATAAGTTAAACGAGTAACCTGTGTTCTGTGCACTGTTTCATCTAGAACACTTCTTAAGAGCCATGAGCTTTCTCTTTCCAAAGCAAAACCTTGTTTTAAACAAGCTCTTACTTGACAACAGAGGAAGGGAAGAAAAGTCCATTATAGGCAGTAACTGTCATATTTTTATCTTTGTTGCCCTGCATCAACAAACACACATATCTCTCCTTTTCTCTTCTTCAATTTTTCCTTCACTCATTGCTAATGTAAAACTTTTTAAAAATATTATTATTATTTCAGGTTAAGTTAAAGGCCAAAATTATCCTGCATGGGCTGGACAGATATAGTTTTAGAGACATTTACATTAAAATGCTTTTCCTGCACGTTATTATAAAAACTTTTTTTTAAGCCCAAACTAGACAGCTGGTCTGCTTTTTGTACTTTTTTCTTTGGTGCCTTCCTTTATGAATTCTCTGGGGCAGCTATCATCACATCAATAATGTCCCATAGCAACAATATGGTTTTTTAAACATTATTATTCCCTTTCTTTTCATTTTCTTTATGGACAAAGGGTCTACTTTCCTTTCAAGAAGAGAACTGAGATCTTATTGACAAAAAAGGAAGATGCATCCTTTCATTGGTTGGTATGTATTGCCTTGTTAACCAATCAGAGGATGCCATTTATTCTTTTCTGACTAGCTAAGTGAGCAGGGTGCCCAGAATGATTGAATCTGCCTTAGTTCCATCAAGTAGCAAAGGATGAACTCAGAGTTCTGAGACCCAGGATTTGCTATTTGCTTTGGCTAATCCAGATTGTATTTGACTTGTAAGGATGAATTTAGCTACCTAATTATTTTTAGCTTACTTGAACACATCTGGATTACACATTATTCTATGAATTTTTTTCATTTAAAAATATATTATGATTATCTTTCCAAGTCAGTGCAGATTATTGGTATCAGCACACCAATGGTCCAGGGATCTTTGTGATTTCCTGTAAAAGTATAGAATTGGTCCCCACCCTTAAAGATTTAGTGAAAACTTGGGGGGATAAGGATTGGAAGGTAGAAGAGTGAAGAGCTATGTTACCCTTGATGAACAAATATTTCAGCTTTTGGATTCATTCTGTCCAACTTTGGTGTCCCTGGTAGTTTTGTCTGTTTCTCTATTTTGATTCTTCACAGCTGCCCTTCTGGCCCACATTTTCAGTGACAAGTAGAAAAGCTGGATGGATGGAGACAATGCCCTCTAATTCCGTGTAAGAGAAGACCCATAACTTCCCAGGAAGGCTGTGCCGGTAGGTGGCGGTGATCCCTGGAACTAGGGATTACCCTAGTGTGTCGTGGCACTCGGGTTGGACATGTCTTTTTTTTTTTTCTTTCTCCCTCCACCAAATAGTCCTATTTAGGGATGCTGGCACTAGTCTCCACGCCTCTAAAAGGAAGAGGGCATCAAAGTTCCTTCCCTCTTATAACAGAAAACATCTGACCACAGCCTGAGAAAATGTAACATAAATACAGACCCTCTTGGCCAGTCTTTTCTTGTTCTTGGCTGGAGGGGATGCTGCAAGGGGACGGATGCTTGACTGTGATGGTGCTATCAAGATCCACCTCCTTCAGTGACCCCATCTGTGCCAGGATTTGAGTGGACTGTGAGCCCCAGTGTTAGACTATAAGCCCTTCAATATTAGGGGCAATGTCGTGTACACTAGTAACTTCCTGAAGCTTAACGTCAGGGCTCAGCAAATATTTGAACTGAATCCTACAGGCTAGCATTAAGACAATTCCCTTAACTTCCTTTTTATGACAATGACAGCTCTAGCCCTGCCCCCTCCCCCACCTCTCTCTTCCAAAAGCTTCATATTCCCTAGCTCTCTTCACAAAAGATAAATGAAGGCTCAGTTAATTGTTACCATGGTTACATGGAGTGGCCATACTGAGGATCCCTATCACCCCTTACTGTCAGAAGGAAAAAGAGAGGAGGGGTTTGGGGATCTTTGTCACAGAGGGAACCATGGAAACAAGCGTTGCTAGGGGGATGGCTCTAAATTCAGGGGAAAGAAACTACAAGTGGGGAGAGGGAGTTGGTGGGCTCAAGGGCAGGTCATTTTTTCAAGGTACATTTCTCTGAGACTAGAGCAGCCTCTTTCACTTCTTGCATCCTCCCCCAACCCAGATAGAGCCCAGAGTTAAAGAATTTTAGAAAATTGGGGCCACTGTGAGGTTCAAATCCATCTTCATTGGTCCTGCAAGGGAAAAGCCAATGAAAATGGACTTCTTTTGTTCACATCCCAAGATTATACTCTACCTCTGAACTCTGCCTCTTTTCCAATCAGTTTTATGTACTATAAGCCAGGCTCTGTGCTAGGCACTGGGATATAATAGTCAGCAAAAGAGTCCCTGCTCTCACGGTGAGCTGATAGCAGGACAGCCACTTGGCTTGAAGGCCAGAGTTGCTCATATAGGCTAGATTGGACAGTCCTGCAGGGCAGTGTCCAGAGGGCTGCCAGGAGTCTCTCCAAACTCTCTTTGTAATACCTTTTAGCTTATCTATTACCACCTGAAGTTTACCTGAGAGCTTGCTGATAAAGGCCTGTTTTCCATGGGAACACCTAGAGTTCTAACCCCTCGGGTGAACACTTTGAATATACCTTTGGTAGTCTTGTCCTGTAAAATTACACTGACATCTTTTTCTCTGAAACAGTACACCAAGGATCACGAACTAGTCCTTTCTGAAAAGTGCCAAAGAGATGAAGGGTTGTTATTATTTTTTTTATTTTACAAGAAATTAAAGACAACAAATCCCTCTCTCTTCCTTGATGGGTTAGGTGGGGGCTGAGTTATGTTCCAAGGTAGAGTATGATCATGGGGTGTGAACACAGTAAGTCCATTTTCATTGGCTTTCATTCCCTGAAGCTTGGAGTTGCACTCTGTTGGGGAGTGGAGAGGGGTACCCTGAAGAGGGATACCCCTCTCTTACATCCTCCCAGAAGCAGCTGTCTGAAGCCTACCTGTCCAGCTGACAGCTGGGAAGGGGTTGGGCCTTGGAGCTGGGCTCTGCCAGGCTTCTCCAAGATCCCTCTCTAACCTTCAGTTTCTCTGGGCCAGCTCTTCCCCACTCTGGGTGGAGAGGTCTGGCCCAAGGATGGAGGGCTGGGCTACAGAGGAGGAGTTTGTAATTAAAAAGAAAAAGAATTAAAAGCAGCACCAAAAGGGAAGGGTAATTATCCTTCAGCTGCTGCAGAAATACAATTAGGGCCATGCTCTCTGAGCCGCCAGGATATTGTGGCTTTTGCTAATTAAGAAGCGGATATGCCCTGCCAAGCGCAATTAGAGGCCGGCCGGGCAGCGAGGGCCATGCCTCTCCTCCACCAGTGCCTAGGCCTGGGGAAATTAACCCGTGAGCCCAGCGCTGGGCCAGGCTGGGGGTGGGGGGTGGGGCAGGAGCAGGACTCCACGCTCCCCCTGCCCACAAACCTTTCCCTTTTTCCTTTCCTCTCCATTCTGCTTACACCAGCACCCCCACCTCCACTGCATTCTAAGCTGTGGCACTGGGAGGATTTTTCACCCTGGGCCTGGACTGTGAACTCTGGGGCGCGGGCGACCTGGTAAAGAGGGGTCACCATAACCTGGAGCTCTTCCTTTTTCCCTTCCCCATGATAGTCCAGGGCTTTAGGATGCCTGGAGAAAGGCGGAGAAATGAGCCGCCCGCTGCTTCTCTTTAAAAATAAGATCCTCTTATTATTAAAGGAGGTATGTTCGCTATAGAAAATTGAACACTCCGAAGAAAAAGAAAATAAGGAAATAATCCCCACCCCCGTCTGCACCCCCCATACTGAGTGGAGGTTCGGGACCATGCTGGGGTCGGGGAGGGGCGGCCGGAGGAGACGGGCCGGGAGGTGGGGCGCAGACAGAAGCCGCCCGGCAGGACCCTGGGGCTGGCTGACCG